TTTGTAAACGCATCGCATAAACGTGTTTCTCTCTTTTTTTTTTTTAAATTTAAAAAAAAAACGCGCGTAAAATCGATAATAGAAAAAAAGACAAAAAAATTACGTAATATTTATTACTCGAATGCTTAAGTAATTTTTTTTCCAGAAAAAAATTTTTTTTTACCCTCAGAAACTTTTCTATCATTCTTCTTCCTGTTATAATAATTCGATCTCCCGAGGTATTAAATTCCTCCTCTTCCTCCTCTCTTTCCCTCCCCTCAACCTACCCTCATATTTTATCATTATTATTATTTACTTATCGATTTTTTTTTATTACGTAATTAAAAATGAAAATCAAGTTTTACTTGTTTAATATAATAGTATTAATAATTTAAAAGGAGGTAAATATACAAAACGAGCGGAAGAAAACGGAAATTTTTTTTTTTTTTTTGCACGTTTCGAACGAGAATAAAAAAATGGAGGGGGTGGGTAAACCTGGATTTTCAGGTATATAATTTACCCGGTATTGGTTGATAACATTATCGTTTTTCGTCTTCGTAATCGTAAAAAAAAATTAAAATCAAAAAACTTCCGGTTGTGGAATTATTTTTTCTCATTAATTTCCCGTTTAAAATTTTTTTTTGTTTCCTTTTCGATAATAATAATAATAATAATAATAATAAATTGAATCGAATGAATTTGATCATCATTATTATTATTTATTACTGAACTTTTTTTTTTTTTTTTTTTTAATTAAAATTAATACTCGTCGTAAAATTTTACGATCACATCCGGGATAAATTAATAAATACTTCCGAAAAAAAAAAATTTCGATTAGTTTATTCGTAACAGCAGAAGACGAATTCGTTCTATTTTCAAAACAAAAAAGAATGTTCGAGAAACTTTCTTTCCCCGGCGTAAAATTTTCATCGTCGCCATATTTGTTTTTATTTTTCCTGTCTGTGTTTCTAAATTAAAAAAAAAAAAATGGCCGCTCGTTTATGATTTCATCATTAAACGATACGTAAAAATTACACGGTCATTATTATTATTATTATTATTATTATTATTATTATTATAATTATTACCTATTATTGTCTCCCCTCCCTCCCCCCTCGTTTTTTTTACTTTTTAATTTTTTTATCTTAATCAAATATTTCTTTACGTTCCCGCTAACTATTACTTTCGCTCTCTCGTCGTCGTCGTCCATTTTTTCTTTTCTTTTTTTTTTTTTTTTGTAATACATCATTTAAATTGAATTGTTTACTTAAGAAAAAGGAAAAAGAAAAAATCTAGAACGTTCCATTTTAAAAAAATTTCGTTATACTAATTATTAATAATAATAATAACAAAAAAAAAAAATTTAATTTTTAAATTATAACGCGTGAGAGATTATTATTTTTCTTTACAAAAAAAAAAAAAATTCCGATGGAAAAAATAAAATTATTATTATTATTATCACGTAATCGATAAGAACCTGAAAAGTTAATAAAGGAAATTATATGAAAATAATAATAATAATAATAATAGAAGAAAATTTAAAATAAAAACAAACATTTTTTGACCTGACGTAATCAAGATGTGATATTTTCCATACGCAGACAAACGAAATAAAAAAATTTTCTCCTCCCCTTCTTTTCCCGCTCCTCCCCCCTCCCTCCCGCTCCCCTTCTAATAATGAACAAAAATTAATTTGGTCGTTAATTAATTTATCATGTTAATGAAATGTGAAAATTACAAAATAAATATTTCCAAGGAAAAAAAAAAAAAAAAAAAAAATTTCACTTAATGAGAAAAAAAAAAAACAAAGATGGCCGCCTTTAGTATGAAAAATGTAAACAACACATAAAATCGATTCACGGTTTGTTTTACTTTCTACGGGTTAATTAAATTTTTTTTTATTTCTTTCTTTCTTTCTTTTTCGCACCTTCCTTTAAATAAAAAAAAAAAAAATTAATTATATAATTTTTTAAAATTTTATTCCATTTTTCCTTTTTGTCACAGAGAAAGTTTTTCCAATAATAATAATAATATTAATAAAAAGATTATCAATAATAAATTAATTAAAAACGTTACGATTATTATTATTAATAAATCGTATTTACTTTGTAATTTATTTATTTTTTCCCTAAACGATAATAATAATAATAATAATAATAATAATAATAATAATAATAATAATAATAATAATAAAACTTTTGCTTGTTTTAAAATGCGAAAGGGAGGAAAAAAAAAGAAAAAGAAGAAAAAGGAAAATTTTCTAGTTACACGAAAATAACATTAAGAACAAAAAAAAAAAAATTTAGAATGATTTTAAACAAAATACACGATAAAACAATTAATTAATATTCTTAATGACGGTTTTTAGGGTAGAAAAAAATATTATTATTATTATTAAAATAAATTCCCGCGTAAATTTTTTAAAAATATTACGTAAAAAAAAAAAAGAAAACTTTCTACGAAAAAGAAAGCGGATTTTAACGACCTGGAACGATTTGGCGGGATTTTTTTGTTTTTCTTTTCCGAATGACCTTGAACGTGAAAATTTCCAAGGATTTAAATGGACCTCGTTAATAATTTTAAATTTTAAATGTTTTATTAACGAATTTAAAAATTTATTTTTACGTCTGCTTTTCTAAAAGGTTCGAATCTCCCCTACTCCCTCTCCTCCCCCTCGCCATTTGTTTTTATAACAACCGGAAAAAATAAATTACAAAAAAAATGTTTTTCGTCCCACGCAAAGTAATTAAAGTTTTTTTTTTCTTCTTTTTTTTTATTATTTATTATTTAAATATTAAAAAAGAAATTTTTTCTTTTTTTATAATTCACGTAACTTCCTACTTTCGATAAATGTTTTTTTTTTTTTTACATTTTTTTGTTTTTCTTTTTTTTTCAGGTGCCTAAACAGATGCCTGTTCATCATCTACAGTGCCATATTTGTAATGAGTACAAGACAAACACAATATTCCGATTACAATATAACAGGTTGGTTGCCTCCTATTTTTATTTATTTATTTATTTACATACCGTTACTACCTATCTCTCTCTCTGTCTCTCTTTATCACGTGTAAAAAAAATTTTACGACTAAAAATAAATAAATAAATCATCATCATCATCGTATGATGATTGATTGAAATTAATCGTGATTCGATTAACGCGATCGTAATTAATAAATAATTAATTTTATAATAAACTCTTTTATTTTTTTCCTATTGATAAATTTATTTGATACCTATCGTTGTTTACACGTGCGTGCGTGCGTGTGTGCACGTGTATTTTTTAATAAATAATTAATTAATTAAAATAAAAATGACGTCGTTTGCGTCGAAACGTGAAAAAGGGGTAAAAGGAAAAAGTAAAAATTATTCCGGTAAATCGTTTGGTAAAAAAGTAATAAAATATTATCATTATCACTTTTTTTTTAAATAAATAATTGTTATTTTTCCATATAAGGTCAAAAACAATATTTTAATAATTTGTGTCATTATATAAATTATTCATTGCACTAATGTTTTTTTTTTTTTATAATAATAATAATGTAGCGCGCATCCATAAAAAGAAAAAGTTAAATAATAATAATTTTCCCGTTATCGAACGAATCAATAATAATAATAATAAGAAAAGAAAATTATTTGTAAAAACAAACAAACAAACAAACATTTTAAATAACAACAATTAGTTAACATCTCTTTTACATAATCATACGTAAAGTTAATAACAAATAGCAAAAAAAAGAAGTAATAATAATGATTTTTTTTTTAAGTATCCCTAACCATCCTTAAATTTTTTTTTTTTTTAAACAACAACAACCAAACAATTAAAATGATGATTTGAAATTTATTGGCAAATAAAACGTTAACAATTTAAATAAAATAATGACGTCACGGATATGAAAATTTTAATAATAAAATAAATAAAATTATCAATGCACGAACCTCTACGTTTTTCCTAACGCCATTTTTCTTTTTTTTTTTTTATTCTCACGATAAATTATTTATTTTTTTTTTTAATATTTTATTTATTGTTACTCAAGGCAAAAAAAAGGAAAAACTTTCCATCGACAACAAACAACAACAACCAACAAAAATTCGTTAATGTTTGAATTTTATCGGGGGAAATAAACGACCGGTAAATTTAATTTGTCGTGATTGTATAGGAAACGGAAAAAAAATCGTGGCACGAGAATAAAATGAATTTTTTAAAAAAAATTATCGAAAATTATTGTAATAAATCGATAGTTATTATTATTATTATTATTTACAAACAATATGAAAGTTGTTTTTGTTTTCCTTCTTTCGTTTGTCTAATTTTATAATACTTAAAAAGTGAATACTTTTATCCCTTTTGTAAAATAATAATAATAATAATTAATAAGTCAAACAAACAAGTAAAAAAAATGTTAAGAAAATTCAATCGTGTCCCCTCCCCTCCCCCCTCTTTCTCCTCCTCTCATCAAAAATCATCATTATGCAGACGACGAAAATTTTTTAATATTTTTTCATTTTAAATTTTGATATTATATAACAAAAAAGGCTCCGCCATTTTTTTTTTATTGAAAAACTTTTCTTTGTTTGTTAATTAATAATTGACCCAAAAACAAACGGTTTACGTTTGTTGAATATTTAATTACTTTTTAATGTGTTAAAAATAATATTAAATAATAATAATAATAAATTTTTTTCGTACTTATTGAAAAAGTTTTCAATTACGTACAAAAACTATTTAATAATTACTTTTTTTTTTTTAATAATATGACGTAGAGACGTTGTTGTTGTTGTTGTTGTGGTTGTGGCTGTTGTAGTTGTTATCATAGTCATCTTACCGATATAATTTTTTTTATGAGGCAAAACAATAAATTTTGTAAAAAATTGAAGGAATACGCGGCGGAAAAAAAAAAAAATTAAAATTTTTTTCACGACGTTTTATCACGTGTCACGTTAACGCGTGACGCATTTTACGTTTTTTTTTGTTGTCATGTTAATTATCCATCACGTTGAGCTATTTGTCAATTATTATTATTATGTTTATAAAATCTCATCCGGGTTAATAAAAATAATTTTTTTTTCTAGATTATGCAAGAAAATCAATTCACGGTGATTATAGTTTGTGGGTGGAAAATGCTCTGAGGGTGGAAAAAGGTTTACCGAGCGGTTTATGTCCAGAATCACCTGGAATATGTCCACCGGTTAAATATCGGGATTATCGAGGTTATTGCAATAATGTCAGGTATCCCGAAGCTGGTTCGAAAGGGACAGCTTTTCTTAGATTGATGACGTCATCTTACAAAGACGGTAAGTCGCTACTTAATTTCATTTATTATTAATTTATTTATTATTTATTTTATCGTGAAAATTACGCAAGTAAAATGCAAGAGGAAAAAAAAACAAGTTTTTCCTTATAACTTGCCAAAAAACAAAAAAAAATTACAAACAATAAAATTTTATTTTAAAAAATTCAAATTTTTTAATTTTAACCTTAAAAAAAAATATGAGAAGAAAAAGAAGAAGAAGAAAAGATGGATAAACAAAAAAAGAATTAAAAAAAAAAAAAGTGAAATTTCTGGTTTTAATAAATAAATAAAAGTGAAAAGTATATAAATAAATCGAATATTTATTAAATATTTTTCATGTTTAGCTTTCTTTAAATTTTAAAACGATATCGATATTAATTTTCAATAAAAAATAAATAAATAAAATTTGTTTAATAACATTTATAAATATCTATTTCCGGTTTTAACCGTTAATTTTAACGATTACGTAAAAGATTCGCGAAGATTTTTTTAAATTTCAATATATTATTCGATTGTTTTCGCAAATTTTTTTGTTTTTTGCGGGGAGGGGGAGGAGGAATCCCCCAAGATTTATTCAATTTGTTAATTTTATCACGAAAGTATTGAAAAATTTAAACTTTTAATAGATTTATAAATTTTATTCGTGTAGTAACGGCCTCCTCTAAATTACAAAACCGTTAAAAATTATCGAAAATATTATTCTGTAAAAGAAAAAACTTTTACGTGACTCGACTCAAATTTTTTTATTTCTTTTAATTTACTATTAAAATTTTCGTGTATTTATTATTATTGTTATTATTATTATTATTATTATTATTATCATTTGATTAATTTAAATGTTCGCGCCTATATTTTTTCAAATGATTTAAATCGTAAAAAATACAAAAAAAAAAAAAAATTTAATTAATTAAAACCAACAATCGTAAAATTAATCAATAATCATTCCTTAAAAGAAAAACATTCATTCATTCATTCATTCATTAAATAATAAAACTACAGTAGTAGTAGTAGTAGTAGTAGTAGTAGTTGTAGTTGTAGTAGTAGCGATTTAAAAAATTTTCGTTTATACAAACAACAATAAATATTTATTTTTTTTTTTAAATTCGTTTCTTTTCAAACATTTCATTATTTTTTTTTTTTTTTCGTATTTACTTATTTAATAATTCATTTAAAAATTACATAATTTCATTTAAATTTAAAATAAATTGATGATGATGATAATAATAATAAATTTTTACTTATTACGAAAAAAATTGTTTTAAAAAAAAAAAAAAATTTTTTTCTGAATTCGATCTCCATTTTTTTTTTTTTTTGTTATAAACAAAATAAAACTTTCTTCGCGGTTAATTTTTTTTTTTTTTTTTTAGTAAAAAAAAGAAGAACAAAACGGTTATATCAAAAAAAAACTTTCAATTTAAAAACAAAAACAATTTTTTTTTGTAATACTTTAAAAAACAAAAGAATAAATTATTATTATAATTAAATATTCGTTACGAAAGATAATTTACGTGATTATATTTTTATTATTATTATTATTATTATCAACGACAAATATCGATCAAATGTTTTTTGGCTAAAGTTTTATAAACAATAAACGGCCAAATTATTTAATGCAATTTAAAAAAAAAACGAATAAATAAATAAATAAATAATGTTTGATTCGAATTCTTAAATTAAAAAAAAAAATTTTCCTTTAAAATAACGTTGAGGGGAAAATCATCCATCCCGAATGAAAACCGTTAACCGTTTTTCTATTTACACTTTAAGGTGTGACGATTCCAAAACGATCAACGGACACGCATTATTTACCCAGCGAAGAAGAAATAATAACAATAATAAAAACAAAAAAATATCATCAATATGTCAATCCCATGATTGGAATGTGGAGCGAATTAATTAAAAATGATATTTCTTTAACGTCAAATCCTAGTAAGTCGCCATTATCAATCGTTATCATAATAATAATAATAATAATAATTTCAGCTAAATATTTTTTTTTATAATTTTTCTTTTAGGTATCATTGATTGCTGCGGTCGAGATTCGCAACATCCCGAATGTTTTCCAATAACTTTAAATGAAAAATGTCAATCGTATTCAAGATCTTTACCAGTTTTAGAAAATTGCACATTTAGTGAGTTTTATTCAAATTTTAATTTTGTTACTCTATGCCAAGAATATTTAAAATTCATATTGCGAATTTATTACCATGCTTAAAAATTTACTTAATAAAATATACTCAAAAAAAAAAAAAAAAAACTTTATTTGTTTCCAGAACAAAGAGAACAAATGAATTTAGCAACGTCTTACATAGACGGATCTGATTTATACGGTACGAAAGATGATGATAATAGTAATATAAGATCGTATAAAAATGGTCAAGTCATTATAAAAAATTGTCAAAGGTGAACAAAATAATAATAATCATTAATTAAATAAGAAAATCTAAAAAGAAAATTTTTTTAAATAAATTGTTTTGCGTTTTCAGATGTAACGGAGACGGAGCTTTATCATCGTTATATACGGCTTTATTAAATCATCACAATAACGTGGCACTTGAATTGTCGAAATTAAATCCACACTGGAGCGATACAATAATTTATCAAGAAACTAAAAAAATAGTCGTGGCAGAAATACAACACGTGACGTACAACGAATTTTTACCAGTGATTTTAGGGGACGAAGCCGTTGAAATAAAAGATTTAAAATTAGTTCAACAAGGATTTTACGATGGTTATTCTAGTCAGTACAAAGGAAATACCATAAATGAAGTTGCCACGTCTATTTTTCCAATTTTCCGTACGATGTATTCCGATGATTGGGTGGGTTTTCTTTCATTTTTCTGTTTTCGAATTTCCCTTTTTTCGAGAAAATTTATGTTTTTTGTTAAAATTATTAGGCTAAAGCATTCAACGGAAGTAAATTACCAACGACAAACGTCATAAGTAAAATTTTATCATTACCGGCAATGTTACCATCGATACGAGCCTACGATTTACATAAGAGTAGAGATCATGGAATAACTGATTATTTAACTGCGAAAAAATTTTGCACACAAAACATTAACAACAACGCCCCTTCATCACAAATCGAAAATCAAATTGATGCATTAAAAATTATTTACAAGTAAAAAAAAAAAAAATTTCAATTTATTACGCATGCAAAAAAAAATCGAATATCGTAACATTACATAACGTTATTTTTGCAATTTCAGGTATCCATCCGATGTGGATTTAAGCGTAGGAGGACTTTTGGAAACTCCTTTACCCGGAGCATTGGTCGGCCCTACTTTTTCATGTCTTTTATCACGACAATTTATTAATTTGAGAAAAAGCGATAGGTTTTGGTATGAAAATGATTTACCACCAACGTCATTTACAAAAGATCAATTGGAATCGTTGAAAAAAATGACACTTTCTGGAATTTTTTGCTCCGGATTACCTTCTTTAGATTACGTACAATCAAATTCATTCTTACAAAAAGATTCTTATTTGTAAGTCGTGTAATATTATTATTATTATTATTATTATTTATTTAAATTTCAAAGGTCGTTTTTAAAAAATAAAAAAAAAACGTGTGTAATAAAATTTTTTCTTAAAATTTTTCTAAAAAAAAAAAAAAATTTCACCGTCTCGTGAAATTTCTCTTTTTTTTTCCTTATTTTTAAAGATGAAATCTTAAGTCATTTTTATATTTGAATAATTTTAATTTTTTTTTTTTAAATGACAGAAATAGCGAAATAGCTTGTTCCCTCCAGCCTAAATTAGAATTGGGACCCTGGAAATCAGAAAAAAAAACAAACATTCCACGTGATGTGTTAATGGACGTCGTGAGAAAAGCAGAAACCGATGTTAATTCAAGACAGAAAAAAGAATACTTAATGTGGACGATGAGTAAATAATTTTTCTTATCGTTATAAAAAAAAAGGACGAAAATTAATAATAATAATAATAATGGGGGAATTTTTCCAGAGGGTGGGGCTGATCCGAAATCTCCAGTTGGAATGGCTGCAGCTTTTAATAAAGCAACAAAAGAAGCTCTTAACATGGCAAATGTTTCTCTATTATACGAATTCACGACCGAGGAATTATTTCAATCTTTGGAAAAGTATTATTATTATTATTATTATTATTATTTACAATAATTTTTTTTTATTAAGTTTTAAATTTAATTACCTAATTTTTTTTTTTCACAGTACGAGAAAAAAACGACAATTGATCGATCACAACGATAATTATTTACGATACCTTCCATCGATGGGATTCGAACCTCCAGGAAATTTCGTTGATAATTTCGAAGATATTGATTTAACTGGAATTTTACCACCGCCGAAAGAATTCGAACCTGAATGCCCGAACAGAGACGGTTCGGAAATATGTGACGAAACGACACCTTTTCGAACACACAGCGGATATTGTAATAATTTAAAAAATCCAAATCTTGGAAAAAGTTTAGCCACTTTTGCAAGATTGTTACCGGCCATGTATGAAAACGGTAATTTTTGGTACACATCCATGAAATTATTTAATTTAAAAAGAAAAATAATTTTACTCGATTCATTATTGTAGGTGTATCTAAGCCGAAAACTATCGGAGTGAAAGGGGATCCACTTCCTTCTCCACGTCTTATATCAACCATGATTCATGCAGACATCAGTAATTTGCACAATAGATATTCTTTGATGTTGATGCAATTTTCTCAATTTTTGGATCATGATATTACGTTCACTCCCGTACACAAAGGTAAACAAACAATTTAAATCGTTATATTAAAGAATTCATTTTCATCTTGCTTAAATTTTTTTTTTTTAAGGATTTTTTACATCGATACCTGATTGTCGTTCGTGTGATAGTGCATACACGGTTCACCCAGAGTGTATGCCGATTCCTATACCTCCTGGAGACCCTCACTATCCACAAATTAATCAAACGAGTGGTGCACCCATGTGTATTGCTTTTATGAGATCACTTCCGGGTCAACGATATCTCGGTTGGTTTTTTATTTTTTCCATTACTAAACTAATTAAATTGAATTTTTTTGATCTTTACTAAACTCATCAATGGTAATTTTAGGTCCTCGAGAACAAATAAACCAAAATTCAGCGTTTTTAGATGCAGCTCATATTTACGGAGAACATCATTGTCAGGGTAGAGAGTTAAGAAGTGGATTCGGTGGAAAAATGAACGTAACGAGACATCCTTCGGTGGGAAAAGATTTACTACCACAATCCCCTATTCACCCTGAGTGCAGATCACCTTCCGGTTATTGTTTTATTGCCGGTAAATTTATTATTTACGATAAATATTTACGACGCCACTTAAAATTCATTGATGAAAAAAAAAAAAAAATTGTTTATTAGGCGACGGAAGAGCTAGCGAACAACCAGGTTTAACAGCCATTCACACAGTTTTCATGAGAGAGCACAATAGAATAGCTGAAGGTTTGCAAAAAGTTAATCCCCACTGGGATGATAATTTACTTTACGAGCACGCGAGAAGAATAATATCCGCGACTTGGCAGCACATCACGTACAATGAATATTTACCAAGATTATTGGGATGGAACGCTGTTAATCTTTACGGTTTGAAATTGAGACCTCGCGGTTATTATAAAGGTAATAATAGAAAGTATAGGTTACTAATTACAAGACCAAAAGTTAATTGAAACTAATATTCTTTCATCATGAGTGAAAATATTTCTCAAACCACCAAAAATTTTACTTTTCAGGTTATAGCGATACATGCAATCCAAACGCTTTGAATGAATTTGCAACGGCCGCATTTAGATTAGGACATAGTTTATTAAGACCCCATTTGCCCAGAATGAATCCCGCATACAAACTCATGGATCCACCAATTTTATTAAGAAATGGTTTTTTTAATCCCGACATGATGTATCAGGTACGGTAATTTTTCGATAAGGAAACGCACTATCAATATTTTCAAATGTGTTTACGTTGATTTTTATTACTTGCCAGCCAAATATGGTCGATGAAATAATAAGAGGATTGATAACGAGTGCGGTGGAAACACTGGATCAATTTATTACTGGAGAAATAACGAATCATTTATTCGAAGACAAACGAATTCCATTTTCAGGAATAGATTTAGCTGCTTTGAATATTCAAAGAGGCAAGTAATAATAATAGTTTTCCTATTTATTTTACGATTTATTATAATATACATTATGGTACCCTAGGAAGAGATCATGCTATAAGAGGCTACAATGACTACAGAGCTATTTGCAACCTTAAAAAGGCACAGACGTTTGAAGATCTTGCAAGAGAAATACCTCACGAAGTTATTGTTAGATTAAAGGCAATTTATACTCATGTCGACGACATCGATTTATTTCCTGGAGGAATGAGCGAAAGACCTGTACAAGGTGGTATAGTAGGCCCGACTTTTGCTTGCATAATAGGAATCCAATTTAGACAGCTAAGAAAATGCGACAGATTCTGGTATGAAATAAATTTTTATTTTCGAAAATATTAAAATGGAAGTATTTTAAAAGTGAATTACGTTTTTACATTTAGGTACGAAACTGATAATCCGGTGACAAAGTTTACCGAACAGCAATTAGCAGAAATAAGAAAAATAACTTTGTCTAAAGTATTATGCGAAAATATGGAACATCCGGAAGATATTCAAAGAGCATCTCTCGATCAACCAAGTAACTTCTTGTAAGTGTTTAACCTTAAAATAAATTTACTAATAACAAAATATTACTTCATTGATAAACTGTACAGGAATCCTAAAGTGCCTTGTCATTCAATTCCCGACATCGATTTAAATGCCTGGAGAGATGTTGTAGATGAATGTACAATAAATGGAAGGAAAGTTCCAATGAATGGAATAACCGTTTCTACTCCTTGCACGAGTTGTAAATGCACACCACATGGAGTAAGTTACCATATTAATAATCAAACAATTTCAAATTTTTAAAAAATCCCACAAAATCAAAAATGTTTTTTTTTTTTTTTTTTTTTTTTTAGGCTCAATGTGCCTCATTAAGAATACCTGATTGTAATCAATTGGTAAGAGATTGGTCGAAAGAAGCAATATTACTCGATGATGTTTGCACAACTCAATGCGGTTTTCTCCTTCACGACGATTCGCTATTACCAAGAGAATTAAATCCTCCACCGATTCCCGATACCGTATATCTAACGAACACGCTTAATTTAAATCAAAGACCTGTGAGAGGTCGAAGGTTATTACCTTTTGATTTAATACCACCTCCTCAAAGAACGTCTAGACCAGTTAGAAGAAATCGATATCAAATATATCCAGATTACAAAATACCTCAATTTTTTGGAAGATGAATTACGACCACTAACGTAATTTTTTTTTCAAGACTGAATAGATTATTTGTAAAGGGTAGCAAAAATTATAAGTTTTCAATCCAAAAAAAAAAAAAGAGAAAACGACGTAAAACAAACGATATGATATCAATTTTTGATTTAACGCATATTATCTTTTTATTTTATTTTACCAAAATAATATTTTTCATGCTTATTATTTATGCCATATATACATAGTTTTAAATTATAATCGTTAATCACGTGCCTAATATTGTATATTTTTTTTGAGTACCTTATAAAATGTAATCAATTTTAACCATATTATTATCCCGTACGACGAAATTGTTGTAGTTTTATTTTAATTAATTTTTTTAATTAGCAAAAGTTTAACGTTTTAGTATTAAACAAAAAAAAAATAAATAAATAAATAAATTGTGTGTATAAAAAAAAAAAAGAAAAGTTGCAGAGAAATTATATTATTATATATATATATATATATTTTTTTTTTAAACCATGCATATTTGTTATTGTTATTATTATTATTTTTATTTATAGATAATTATTAAAAAAATTATCTGCTTTTTATAGATAATCAATGGTTACCAATATTGTAATAAATATAATTATATAAAATAATATATAATTTAGTGTTTACATAATTTTATAACCTCAAACGAATGTTTCATGTGCTCATGCTCCATCAAAGCAAATTTTTTAAGAATGTAGTCTTTTCAGCGATAAGCAAATTAAAAAAATATATATATGTATATGATATTACTTCAAATTATTTAGCTAAATAAAATAATTCTTACACTAATCAAATTTTTTTTAATAAATTATTTTTTAATATTTAAAAAAAAAAAAAAAAAAAACGAATTCGTATAAATAATTAACAAATTTTTCTTTTCAAAATTAAAAATGAAATTCGATTGTGAAATTCAATTTTTTTTTTTTTCTAATTTAACAAATAATTAAGGCAATTCACTAAATTTATTATTACAGAATCTTGTGATGATTTAAAAAAAAAAAAAAAAAAAATTACAAAAAAAATTGAAAACTTCTAAAGCCTAAAAAAAATTTGCGTATAAACGGGGGGAAATAATTTTTTGGTATGTCTAATTTAAATAATTTTACCATAATATTTAACCAGACTGTTCGCTTTTGGCTTTTTCTTCCATGTCTTTTTTTATTGAACTCTGTTTAATTTTGTAATCAGATAGGGCTGCTTTAATCGCATCTTCTGCTAACATTGAACAGTGCAATTTAACAGGCGGTAAAGATAATTCTTTAGCAATATCTGTATTTTTTAATTTAAGTGCCTCATCAACCTAATGAAACCAAATGTATTATTCAGTTGATTAGAGAAAAAACAGGTTTTATGAATGTTCAAGCAGGTTTTAAGAATTAACTTACTGTCTTTCCTTTAACCCATTCTGTAGCTAAAGAACTAGATGCAATCGCAGAACCACAACCAAAAGTTTTGAATTTAGCATCGATTATTTTCCCATTTTTATCTACCCTAATTTGTAGTTTCATGACATCTCCACAAGCTGGAGCTCCTACTAAACCTGTTCCCACATCTTTGTCATTTTTATCAAGAGAGCCTACATTTCTAGGATTTTCATAATGATCAATCACCTATGAAACATAACAACGCAGGAAAAAAAACTGTAAAACACACCAAGTCCATAAAAGATTTTATGAGTTGCAATAACAATACATTTAACCCAATCACTACATCGATGGGTACCTAACTTGCTTTTTTTTTTTTCTCTTTAGCTTACAATTTTAATATTTGTTGCGTATTACGTAATACCGATTAAAAATTATTAAAACCTTGAGTCGAAAACACTGCATGAAAAAGTAAACGAAAACAGCAACACAGAAACAAATCAAAATAATTTCAAAATAAAAAAATGACATTAAATAAAATTACTTACATTAGGATGATAGAATAAAAATGGACTGTTCAGCGAACGGCTTCTTAATAATCCATTAGGAACTTTAGAAGTAACAGATTTAAAGACTGACATTATTTCAATCTTAATTTAGGTTTCAACCAAATTTAAGTTTTCGTTTTTTGTTATGTTGTCAACAGTGTTGTCTACTGCTAGAATTTTAACGCGCGAATTTAACTTTGAATCGTTTTGTATTTAAAAACATATAAAATTATAAAACTAATAATGAAATTTAAAAATTTTACGTAATTTCGAGAAAAAGAACAAAAAATATTTTCTTAAAATTTTTTATTGCTAACGCTTTCTTGCCAACTAAAACAAAAACATTTTTTTTTCTTAAATAATTTAAAAATATTATTTTTTGGATGGGAAAAAAAAGATAAAATCCGTTAAATAAATAAATAAATAAAACAAAAACATTTTTTTTAAATTTTATAATTTTTATATAACAAAACATTAAATGGATTTAAAAATTAATATTAAAAATAAAAACTTTAACATTTTTTTATAATTACAAAATGACATTTAAGTTAATGTCAAAAAAAAAAAAAAAAAAAAAAAAAAAAAACACAAAAATAATACAAAAAATATTTATCACATATTACATATACTAATGTATATGACAACACCAGACAATTATTAATAAATAACAAATTTTTTTTTTTTTCGTTTTGTTTGTACATAAAATATATGAGAAATATTTATACCATATATATAGTCTAATCAATCTATATTGCAATCTTACCCAGTGAAAAAATAATTTTAAAATTTTCTTCAAAACTGAGACAAAAAAATGCATTAATAATTTTTTTTCCTTAATAAGTTCTAATTATTAAATATACCTATATGATTATATATATATATTTATATATATACGGCTTCGTTACAAATTTCCTAAAATAAGTTTTAAGTAACAACTTATAGAAAACTTGTAGACATTTTTTATTGATTACCAAAACCTATGCTTATGATTAAATTGTGATTGTATAACAAAAATAAATATAGTTTCCCAATTATTTTATAAAAAAAAACAGTCAAAGTTACTTCAATAAAAACTAAATTTTATACATTTTTGCTTGTAATTAAGCTTGTCAAAGTAGGTAACATTTGCTTTGCCTAACTGTTTAAATTTAATAAAAAATTAAATGATTTTTTTATACATAAAGTTTACCGACTTTACAAATTTTCCTACGACATATTGGACAGCCACCACTATGATACCAAATTTTTTTGGCACAAGTGTAACACCCATAAACATGAGCCATTTTTAAATGCATAAATAATCCATTTTCAGGTTTTATGAAGCACACCCTACACATATCCAATGTAAGTTTTCTCGAATTAGATGTCGATGGAAGTGATGTAGAAGGTCCTCCGATTGGTCCATCGACAACATCTTCAGATATTTGAGGTCCAGAACTACCCATACCACTGTCTTCTAAGTATTCTTGACTCAAATTGCTATTCCCTTGATAATTTTCTGCTTCTATGCTACTACTTTCATTCTCTGTTTTGCTGTCGCCTTGCGAATTTGTACTTTCCTCAGTTTTCGATGATAAATTTTGACTTGAATTTTCTTTTCTTATAATTTTTTGACGTTTTTTTGGTCTGCTGGGAAATAGATTTTTTTTCCAAGTGAAACATGCCGAACAATATGGATAACTAATGTCTTTTTTATCTGTTTGACAAAGTAAACACTTTTCAAAATCTAAATAGTCATTTCTAGGTAATCCAGGATCAACATCCGAATTACTAGTAGGGGAAGTTGAATTTTCTTCAGATTTATCACCGAGCAATGCAAGATCTAAACTGTCATAAGCTAGGGAATATATATGATTGTCTATTTCTGCTACAGCAATTTCACTATCATCAGTTTCTTCAGAAAAATAATAATTTTCTCTTCTTTCTTCTAAATCGGTTACTTCATATTCTACATTAAAAATTGGGGAAGAAGATGAAGTGTCACTAGTGTCTTTAACAAATTCAGTTTCATAGCCTTGACAACTTCTTATAGATTCTGTATCAGAACCACTAGATTTATCTGGTGAAGGAGATGCTAACCTAATTCTAGTATACCTTTGACTTGATATAACTTCCTCTTCAGCAGCTCTCTTTCGACTCATGCCTTCTGTAAAATTTAATACAAATAAATATGTGAAATAATAAAAATTTAAAATAAATATTTATGTATTATGTGAAATATTAAAAATCAGAATGTTTGCAATTTAAGAATTGATCAAACAGAAAATTTTTGTAAATTAAATTTTAAAATATCAATTCATTATCATTTTAAATTTAAATACTAGCTTGAAGACTTTAAATTTAACTGGCAAATAAGGAGTATTTTAAATTCAGATTTTTAAAAATTAAAAGGCATGCGAAATATCTATCAGGAATAAATAATAAAATTGAAAATTTATTAAAATAACAATTAATTACCAACTTAGTAAGTAAAATCTATAATACCTGTAACAAAGCCAAGCTTAAAATAAAACTTGCTTTAACTTGTCTATTGAGCATCTGCTTCTACACCGTGTAAGTGCAATTAGCATTTTATAATCTTCAAAATATATCGTGTCATTAGAATTTTATTTAATGATAGAAAAATATTAAACTTTGCTCAAAAGCAAATACTAGTATAATGTTGTAGATAATATAAGATTTTTTAAAAATAACAGTAATTTAGATAAAAAAAAAAAAAGGAATATATAACGTAAATAATGAATAATTTCTTAAAACTTCAAAGTTTAACGAGGAACGTTTATTCGACAATTCGTTTTTGTTCAAATGAACCTGCAGGAATTCCTTATTATGGATTTACATATTACCCCAGGTAACTTTGATCATTTTATTTTAAAATGTTCCCTTTTTTTTATTTAATGTAAGATTTTTGTTTTGGAATAAGTAATGGTGTATTTTTGTAGGGATAAAAATTTTCAAGATCCTCCATATAATCCTTCAAAATTATTTCTAATCAGAAGAATAAAATCCATAAAGGGAGCATCTAAGAGAGAAAAAAGAGTTTTGAGAGAATTAAATATTGATGGAAGCGTAAGAATTTATTATATTTTATTTTTTACATATAATACAGGTCTAATTATTGTTAATTGAAGTTTCATCATCCTAATTCTTAATAAATTTTTTTTTAGAAATTCTTAAAAAATCACATTTCTGTAGTTAAAAATATACCACAAGTAAATACATTATTATGGGAGGTAAAACATTTAGTTGAAATAAAACCGATATATTGGAAAGGTGAATTACCTGAAGATTGTTTAGGAACAATTTTAAGATCGACAGGAGAACTTGTTATTTCGCCTAAATTAGCAGTTTCTGAAGAAATTAAAAAAAATAGTTTAAATCATCATGATGCAAAAATTGGTAGGAAATATATGCAGCAATATTTGTTATCAGAATGGGTAAAAGGAAATTATAAGAATGAAAGTTAATTTGTGAACAATTATAACATTATATCTTGTTAATTACAATTAAAATTTGTAATATTTTATCAAATGTTTTTTTTAATTTTTTAAGTAAAAAAAAAAAAAAAACCTTGTAATCAAAACAAAAAACAGTTTAATTTTGTTTTTTTTTTTTTTTTTTTAATGAGAAATCACAACTTTAAATAAGAACCACATTTACTTTAATCGATTCTCTACAATTCAACAGCTGCAGCTGCAGCAATACTGGGATTATTAATGACTTCTCCAAGACTATCCAATAAATCTTTTCTATAATCATCAAAGTCTCCATCAATTTCACTAATAGTTTGATCTTCGATTACCCATAAAACACATTCAGTTTCCCTGATGAGTCTTTCATCGTGCGAAACAATCAATACTCCACCCTTAAATTCATTTATCGCATCTGCTAATGCATCAATGGATTCAATATCTAAATTATTCGTAGGTTCATCCTAAAATTTGATTTTTTTACATTTTTTTTTTTTTTTTTAGTTTCGATTAATTTTAATTATTTCGAGCATTTTGTTTTATATTAACTTACAAGTATGATTACATCTGGAGCTGCCAAGCAAAGTTCTGCAAGGGCAACTCTAGCCTTTTGACCTCCTGATAAATCTTTCATTTTAATCGTGTGCGCATGGCTAGACAATCCAAAAGTTCCCAATTGTTTTCTAGCTTTTTCGTAAGGCATATCAAATAACCTCATTAAATACTCTGATGGATTTTCTTCAGCTGTCAAATGCTCTCCTGAATGCTGATCAAATTTTCCTATTTTCTATTTAAAAAATAAAAAGTAAAAATATTATTTGAATAAAAATTATCCAATGTAAAATTTTTTTTTAAAAAGACTTAGATAAGGAGACTTACCAAACGATGATTTTTTCTTACATCTCCTCTTTGAGGTTGTAATTCGCCAGTTAACAATTTTAAAAATGTTGATTTACCTACTCCATTAGGTCCTACAATTGCTATTCTAGATGATAGATCTATACCAAAATCAGTATCAACGAATAATGGTTTCTGACCTTCGTATGCAAAAGTAACATCTGAAAAAGCACTTATTTATTTTTAAAACTGTACACATAAGAAATGACTGTTATAGTATATCAACTTTAAGATATTTACTGTAAAGTCCCAATATTGGAGGTTGCAATGGGGGAGGATCTGGAAAACTAAATTTAACAATATAATCCTTGGGTTTCTGCAAAAGTTCAACAGGGCCTTCATCCTCTTGTTTTTGCATTTTACGATTTTTCTCTTGTTTTCTAGTCAACAACTCTTTTTGTTTCTTTTCCTAAAAAAAATATATTTATTTTTTTTAAAAACTAATATAAACTACCAGTTTTATTAATTACTAATTTTAGTTTTAGTAAATGTTGTAACAAAAAAAAAAAAAAAAAAAAAAAAAAACTTACTGCCGCTTTTTTAGATTGACCATGAGCTTTTAATTCTTTTAATTTTTTTTCTTGCTTTTCATATGCTTTAAGCATTTCTTTTCTTTTCTGTACATACATTTTTTTAAATAAACTGTAATTACCCTTATAATAATATAACTTTTGTTGATCTAAATGAATAATTTCATTACAAACATTATCTAAAAAGCTCTGATCGTGAGAAACGACTAACAATGTTTTTTTCCATCCTTGTAGATAACTAAAAAACATCAAAAAAATTCATTTTAGTCAAATGATATTAATTTGAAAATAAGTTTTAAATTTAAAAAAAAGATAAAATACTAACTTGTCAAGCCAAATTACTGCATTTAAATCTAAATGATTTGTCGGTTCATCCAGTAGCAGTAATGTTGGTTCTAAAAACAATGCTCTCGCTAAAGATACTCTCATTCTCCAACCTCCTGAAAAATTTTTTGTAGCTCTGTCTTGCATAGCTTTAGTGAAACCTAAACCTGCCAATATTCTTCTGGCTCTCGGTTCAGCAGAATCAGCTCCAATGGCTTTCAATTCTTCATAAACAGCTTTGAGCCTGTCTTGAACTTCTTCTGTAACATTTCCTTTCTCTTGTTCAGTTTCCAATTTTTTACATTCTTCCAACAGTTCTGTGCGCTTTGTGTCAGCTTTAAGAACTGTTGCTATGGCTGAATTATCATCGGCAACAACTTCTTGCTCACAGTAAAGTATATCAATGTTTGGTGGTATAGCAAATACCCTGCTAGACAAATGTCTAAGTAAAGTTGTTTTCCCATGTCCATTTGGTCCTACCAAACCATATCTTTTACCACTAGCAATCAGTAAATTAGCATTAACAAATAAGTCTTTTCCTTTAGCAGATATACTGAAGTTTTCTATTTTAATGTCGACAGCATTTTCAAAGGCTGAGAGTTGAGTAGGAGTTTTTTCACTAATTGACACAGTAAAATTATCACCCAATGCACTATGACCTTGTCCTCCTTTTCTAGTCATAAACTCAACTTGTTTTTCATATTCCAGCTGTTTTTTTAATTTTTTTCTTTCCTTATGACTAAGTTTTTCTGGTACCTCAGATTTTGGTTTAGTTTTAGATGCTTCATCTTCCTGTTCCTTTTCAGCAACTTCATTATCATTTTCAATAATTTCTTCATTTAAATCACCATTCGTTTCTTCTTCTCCAATTTCTTCGTACTTTTCATTTTTAATTTCCTCCTTTTTCTCTTTAACCTTTTTATCTTTTGTTTTATCAACTTTCTTTTCAGATTTAACATCATTTTTAGTTTTTACTTCTTTTTTTTTCTCCAGTTCTTCATTTTCACTGTCATTTTCATCTTCTTCATCGCCTTCATTATCTAATTCGGCTAATAATTCAATCCTAGCTTTTATCGGTTTCGTTTGTTTTTTATTCGACTTATTTTTTTTAGAAGATATTCCTAAATCTTGAAAAGAATCTTCAACATCATCAAGTTCTTTACCCTTTTTGCCAGAACTACTGGAATCAGGAATTAAGCCAAAATCTAATTCTTGTCTCTTTCTCCTAGACCCTTTAGATTTACCTTTTCCAAAATCATCATCATCACTATCGTCCAAAAAGTCTTGCTTGTTGGACTTACTTGATTTTCCTTTACCTTTTGATTTTCCCACAGATTCATTTTCATCTCCTCCTCCTCCTCCTCCTAACTTATTATTTCCTTTTGCAGATTTATTTTTTGACTTTGACTTTCCAGTATCTTCGTCATCATCAAAATCTGCTGTATTTTTATTATTTTTATTACTTTTACTTTTCCCTTTATCGAATTCGTCAGAATCATCATTGGCATTTTTTTTCTTTTGAGCACGTGTCATTTTAACAACTAAACACTAATGAAAACAAATATATTTTCCAATATACAAAACCATAAGCTAATAAATTCTTTCCTGATACGTTGACAATGTGTCACACTATGTAATTAGTTAAAAACGACTGAATTTAAAAAACAATATATTATCATAATTAATATACTGAAAAAATTTATTATATACAAAAAGAAAAATTTTTTAATAGAAAAAAAATTTATACAAACTAGTTTAAAAGAAATAATATACTTTTAATGCAAAGAATATTTTGTACTAGCAGACAGAAAAAAATTAACCGGAAGTAGTGAAAGTATAATTTCCGCCAAATTTAAAGGGGTAAAATTTTCACATCTTACTTTAATTTGTAAACAAAAAAGTAAAATATCCAAACTATTTTATAAGTATTAATAAACTTAAACATTTTAATTTAAATAATACGCTTAATAAATACGTTTTTAGACGTTTAAATAGCAGAAATACTATTGTATTATTTAATATTGCAAAATTCTTTTAATCCTATTTTACTATTGCAATATATAAAAATTGTTAAAATTTACCCTTTTTTTCTATTTTTGGAAAATTATTAATTATTACCATTGTGTAAAATTTAAAAAAATTATAAAATTAAGGTTTAAATTTTCAGGAATTCAAAATTTAATTGAAACGAATCATTTTCTTTTCATTAATTTTTTAATAAAATTAAAATTTTAGTTAATGAATAATTTAATACAATAAACTCTTTCAAAAAAAAATATTTATTAATTTAATTTTTAAATAAATTCAACGTTTTAAAAACTCCATCGGTTTTGACTTCGATTTTCTTAACAAGATCTTTTCCGACGTGCCAAAAATCTTCCAGTAGAGCTTCCTTATTTAATTCCAGCATTTTTGTTTTTTCATTGAATTTCCTACCGGAAATATTTGGAACTTTAAATTCGCAGGGTTCTAATGTGTCAGGTTTCCAAATGGCGGCAATAATAGAACCTCCGTACGAATCGTGAAAGAATAATACAAAATCACTATAATTCTCCTAATAAAAAAAAGAAAAAAATTAAAATTCATCTTGTTTTTAAAATTTTTTTCGATTTATAAACCGAATAATTCATTTCTTACCCGTAATTCCGTCAGATACAAAGAAACAGGATCGAATCCATTAATTGGAATGTTTTTCCTGTATTCGCTGTCGTCATCGAAATTCACATCGGATGAAACTTTTTTCTTCGGATTGTAATCGTCATTTATTCTAATTAATACGTCGTATGAATCGAGACAAGGGGAAAAAAGTACCTGAAAATTTTTAATTCAATACAAAATTTTACGCAACGAAAAAAAGAAAAAAAAAAAAAAATACCCGAACTATACCGAAAAAAATACCTGATTTGAAAAAAGAGATTGCGAATAAATTTGTTGATCGATAATTTTTAACGCGTTGGCACTTAATTCGACGAGTCTCAATAATATTAACGAATTCGGTGAATTTACGGTGAAAACAGACTTTTTCTTATCGTAGGGAGTTGCTATGAACAAGGGGGGCAAAGCATCCCTATTGTTACTAAACTCTGATTCGATATCCATCATTTCTTCATCTGCAACATATAGGAAACCTTACAAAAGGGCCATTTCGAAAACGTAATTTTCATTACTTAAATTACATTAATATTTTTAATTATGGTAAATAATTTGACTCACGTGTCAATTCGTCGTTGAAATTTAAAATTATGCATTCGGTATTCCAATTAGTCGTCGCCATTAAATAATGATACCTGAAAAAAGCAACCTGGGGCTGACAGGGCGGTTTGTGAGGTTGAGGCTTAAGGTACAGGGATGCGACCAACAACTCTACGCACTCTTCGGATACGTGAAAATGATCCAGAAGATGAGATGAAATCCAACGTTTCACGAGACAGCAAGCAGGTCCGAAAGAATTGTGTTCTTGATAAAGCCTAAGGGAAAATTTTTAATTAAAAAAAAATTACGTTCGTTTATTTCCATTATTATTTCCTGGAATTTTAAATAATTTTTACCCGTGTAAAGTGCTGGAATGCTTTGGCAAATAAATCGACTCCTTTTCTAGTTTTAAACTTTTCTCATTATCTTTGTACTTGACTAAACCATCTGTGTCCACGATTCGTTTCAAGAGAGCGATTTCGTTTGGGTAGACAATTTTTAAATGAAAAACGAAACCGTTTTTAATTAATTCCAAGCGATCCTACGGGATAATTTTTTTTTTTTGGTTTTATTTAATACCCGTGAGGGTGACAAAAACAACAAGTTAAAAGTTAAATTTTTTTTTTATATTTACCGGAAAAGCCTCGCTTACGATACCGCATTGTGAAGCGAGAGATTCGGATATTTTTATGTTAAACGCAGCTCGAATTCTTTTAATTCCTTCCAAATCTAACGGCCATTTGCTACTTGCCGCCATTTTCAATATAATATTAATCGGACTTATCCACGGAGGACACGATTTTAAATCCGTATTTATCCGAGCATGAGTTCCGTGATTTTTTTTTTGATATGTTTTCCGTTGTTTTTGCGGAATCGGAGGAAAAGCGTCTGCATACCTAGAAAAAATTATTAAAAGATAATAAGAAATAGTTTTTTTTTTTTTTTTTAATATCGTTTTTGGGAAATTTTTCGTGACGTACCGAAATACAGGGGATGTTCCCTGTACTGAAACAATTTCCAAAGGTAAATTATTTAAATCTCGAATTTGTTTGACGAGTTGATCGAAAGTTTCCAAAACCGTCAAAGTATCTTCTTCGACATTTTTCGACGTGTAACTTTCTAACTGATTGGCTACGTACTGAAAATCTCCAATTTCCAAACCGAATTTTAATTTTAATAAATAAATTAGGATTTCTTTTACGATTAAACGTTTTTGCGAAAACGTTTGTCCGTTCCATACGACGGCTTCCGTAATGGAACCATCTTTAAAACGCCTCAATTCCGATTTATCTCCCCAGAATTCTCTAAAAGAATCCGTTTCGAATTCCAAAGCTTTGTCGATAACGCTAAAATAATTATTCGGATCGAGATTAAATCCGATGGTAAATGTCAAAGTCGATTTGAACTTTTTATTGATTTTCCAACGAATTTTACTCGCGGGTTTAACACTTAAATTCGTTACCCTATTACCTAAACCCCTTTTCAGCAAATTTATAATTAATTCGCTTATTAAATGCGAATTAACGCCGCAATAGTTTAATCTCTTACTTTTCGGAGAATAAACGTCTACGATATTTTCTAGCAATTCTCCATTGCTAAACCTGAAAATTAAAAATAATAACACGTTAATACAATCCACTTTCATCTATTATATATTTTAAAAATTTCCATTAGACAAAAGAAATTAAATTGGCAGTAATTACGTTACTAAATGATCAAAATGTCGATAAAATGGAACCTTATTTATAAATAACACTTGAAAACTATTTATATTGTGATTATTTAAATAATCAATAGCACATTGAGCTTCTTGTTGAATGCGTTCAAATGTACACGGATTGACGGCATAACAAAAATTATGGTAACCAGTTATGTCTATGAAGACTACCTTATGATGACTGTGAAATTCTGTCAAAGTTGGCATGTTGGCATCATCGTTATTACTACACAAGATAATGCCATTTTTTAACCAATCGCATCCCACTGAAACAAATATCAAAAATTATTAAATAAATTTTATGAATTGAACATTGATGGTTTATAAAATTCTCGATTTGTGCACATTCGAATAAAACATAAAAATTTTTAATGTTGATTTGTAAATTATTTTCATCAAAATATATTATAGAGTTTTAAACTTACTCAAATAATGGCAAACATTTCTAAAAATTTGATAACTGCTCATTAAAACATTGATTTTTTTTATTTGTAATAGGTAGCAAACCAACATGCACAATAAAAATCCATTAAAACTTCCAATACTATTATCTAATTCACGTTGTTTCAACCAAATTTTCAAAAGGAGAATTCCATCTTTAATATTATTGTGCATTAAAAGTGTTTCTTTTAAATAATTCATATTATCTTCGATAATTAAATCAGCAAGTATAGTACTATTGTAAAAGGGTGTTGGAAACAGGTCTGTAATTAAAAAAAAAAAAAAAAATTACTCTGAGAATAATTAAGAAAGTAAAATTCGATTCGAAAGCAAAAATAATTTAATTTTTTACCTGTTTTATTTTCAGTTTCATTAAAAAACCACTTAACCCTTACATTATTTTTACCAGGAGAAAATCTATTCAATTTGAATGTGTCTTTCGGTGGACAAAAATGTAAAAAAATTGATACATGTTTGTTTAATTTTCCTACAGGTGTTATTTCAATACCAGGTTTTAAACTATCCAATTCATCGGAGATAAAATTAAAACTCTCGATTAAATCAGGAAATTCTTGTAATTGGTGAATAAATTCACACATGTACAAAGCTCTTTTTCTATGATATTTACAATTCAAATAATCTTCTTTATAAAAAAAAGTTTGAGGAATTTCAACTAATATATCAACAGTAAATTTAGGTCCGATCAACAAGTTTGAGGCATAAGAACCAATTACTTTAACTGCAGACGGCTTTTTAAATTGATAATTTCCATCCACATTGTATGGTGTTTGAGGGATTGGAATCTTAACTTTATAATTTTTTAGCCATTCTTGATCAATTATTTTATAACTATGAATATTATCTTTTAATTTTGAAACTGCAGATTGAAATTTTTCAAACCATGCTTCAAATTGCAATCTTCTTTTATCTTTAATTTGAATTTCTTTCAGCATTTCTTCGATTTGCAGTCGAAATAAATTAGAATGAAACAAATTTTGTGTTTCTTTTAAATGATTCAATTCCTCTGCAGTAGGAGGTTTATACAATTTTTTTAATTTTCTTTTCTCTGCATTTGAAACATCTTTTTCTTCAGATTCATTATCATCTTCTTCAGGGTAGGATCTCTTCAATCCTTTTTGTTCTAATTCTTCTAGTATTTCGTCTGATGAACCTTGACTACTAAACCCAGTATCTGATTCATTTCCTTCCATTTTACAATAAAGTTTTATCCTTTTAAAAAAATAAAATAATTATTATATTTTTAAAAAGATACAAAGTTAGACAGTAGTCAAGGTACAAACTTTTTTATTTTTTTTTTTACAATTTATGAATAAAATATAGGTTTATTAAAGTAAAAAAAAATAAAATAAAAAAAAATTAAAAGCTAAAATGCAGACTGATTTTACTCAATAACCAAAATTTTAATTACCTTTGTTATAAGTAACACAATTTATATTATTTAAATATAACTTTTGTCACGTTTTTCCCACCGACGATTTTAACCATAGAGCTTAACAAAATTTGAAATCGACAATTTATTAAAAACTTTTCGTGGCAATAGAAAAATTATTTAAAATACTCGTCCGTCAATCGTATAAAATAAAAAATTATTTAGTTAATATTATTTCAATATTAAATTTATAAAATTATTCACATTAAAAATTATTCAAAAAAAAATACATCGTTTTATTATTATGTTCGCCTTTCTTATATTTTAATTCTTGAACAAAATGAAACTTAAATACGCCCTTCTCATTAAAAAAAATTTTTTTATAATTTACTTGAGTAAAGCACCTGTAAAAGCAAAATGTAAAAATAAATAAATAAAAAATACAATCTCATTTTATATTCATTTAATTTAAAATTTATATTTCGAATAATAAAAAACCATAAAACTACTTTTTTATTTTTATTTTTTTTTTTTTTAAATAAAAAAATAAATTTCTATTTCCTGAAAATTTAATGAGAAACCTTTTGTTTTTTTCATTTACATTAATAATTTAAATATACATATATGTATACATAAAATAATTTCAGTGAAATCCTATTATAACCAAAAAAAAAAAAGGTTTTTGATAAATAATAAGTTTCATCTTAATAAGGGAGAAAATATAAAATGGTTTACATTCGTTTCCATTTTCGTTATATTTTCTTAGAATAAAAAAAATTTTTTTTTTTTTTTTTTTTTTTTTTTAAACGTTAAATAGATAAGCTAAACAAGTGTGTGTGCGAGAGAGAGAGTGAATTGAAATACACATGTAAGAATTTTCTCGGAATATCTTTCGCTTTATTTGCTTCGCTCTGGTGTTAAAAGATTACAACCTAAACGTGATAAGTGACTTTTTGTTTATCAAAAAAAAAAAAATTTTTTGTTATTAAACATTGAAATATTATTATTAACAATAAATTTATTTTAATAAAATATTAATTTATTATTATTAAATCAACATCATATTATCATAACACTTACATACTTTATCACATTTAACAAATATATATTAAAAGAAACAACTTGAAATATAAAATAGAAAAAAAATTAGGTTCCTTATGTATTCAACTTAAAATTATCAAATTTTTTTTTTTTAAACTCTTTTACCACCATTTTTCCTCATTCAAATTTCACATAAAAGAAGTTTAAAGAATCAAAAACCATAAATAAATTAAACAACATGATAAAAACTAAAATTAAAAATAAAAATTCAAAACCTATGAAATAGTTTGTTGTTGAATACATTTGTCAACAAGTTTAAAATTTTGTTGCAAGTTATAACAGTTTGTTTGTTTGTTTGTTTGTTTTTCTGTTTAAATTATATTTTTAAAGATATTTATTAATTCTTTAACCTTCCATCTTAGTAAAAATTGAAGGGGGGGAGGGGAAAACAACAACAACAAATTATTATCATTATTTTTTTGTTAATATACCTGAATTTTTTTTATTTTATTTTAACATATAACGTTTTGACTTTGAACTATTAAATATTAGTTTTATTGAAATCTTGATTGCGTTGCACTGAACTCCCTTTAGTTCAGTCACTATCGGAACTTATTAACGTGTCATGTCTATAAATGAATATTTAATAAATAATAATAATTATTATTATTATAAAAACGATAAAAAATTTTTTTTTTATTTGTGTTTGTGTGACAGTTTTTATTTTACATAAGGATAAAACTTAAATTATCATCATCGTCATCATCGTATTATTTTATTTAATAGTTATGAAGAATAATTTATACATTTATCAGGATAAATAATAGGAAAAATCATAGAGTAAGTTAACGTTTTGTTATTTTTTTTTTTTTTTTCGTTTTACGATTTGAAAATATTTTACGCACACACGAAAAGTCAGACATTTTTGTTTTTTTAAACGAGTTAAAATGATGTTAAAATAATATATGGTAAATAATATTAGGGGAGATGTTTAATTTTAGTTTTTTTTTTTTTGTAAACGAAACAAAATTAACGTGTAAGGAGATGCAATTCCGTTACACGTTCGCGCGATAATTTTTGAAATTTTCATTTCGAATGTTTTACCGTTACAAAAAGATTTTTCATTTCGAAATGTTCAAGTTATATTAATTTACGTTCAATTTTACAATACGAAACAAAATAACGAATGATAACTTTTATATTTTGTTTTCGATCGTTAAATAAAAAAAAGCAACAAGTTGTTAAAAAGAAAAACAACGACCAAAAAAAAAAAAAAATCCGTTAATTACGTTGATTTTCACAAACGTTAAATTTTTTTTTTTTTTGAATTTTTAACGAATTTACACTGTTGCCGTTTCGTGCTCGAATAATTTTCTGTTTCATTGGCCTTGAGCCATATAATGTTTTTAATAAAAAAAATACTTTAAGGTATGAGGTCGTGAACTTAAAAGCCGTATTTCCATACCTGGCTGGAATAAATTCCAAACGTTCAATACCTGAGTTAATAATAATAATAAATTCCATTCCGTGATTACAAACTTTAAAAAAAAAAAAAAAAAAATTCGTCATGCCATTAAATTATCGTTTTCAAAAAAAAAAAAAAAAAAAATTCTCTCTCTCTCTCTCTCAACATTGCCAAAAATGTCATTTGTGAAATTATCATTATTATTATTATTATTATTTATTTTTTTTTAAAAGAAAAAATACGAATTTTATTATTGTGTGAAAGTACGAGCCATGTATTGTATTCAAATTTTATATAACGAACAAAAAAGAAAATGATTGTTTGACATTTATAAACAACCGCAAACGAATTAATTTATTTTTTTTTTATTTAAATTTAGTTTTTTTTTCTTTTTTCTTTATAACAAACGGTTATTTTATTTCCTGTATATACCTTTATTTTAAAAAAAACGGTAGGAACGACATTTTTATTTTTTTTTATTTGGATATTCGAAGAATTATACGTCACATTCAAATCCGTTCCATTCGATACGGATATTGATCTTTTTAATTATTATTA